CAAACGTACCTTGAATATGATCTCAAAATCGTCACGAGTAAATAAAATCACTCACTTGGAAGTCTCCTACAAATCAAAATTACAAAGAGGCATTAATACCTATTCCACACAAATTTCCAACAATATATACACTCTTTAAATCACTCATAAACCCTCTAAAACAAGCTGAAATTTAATTTAAAACCCTAACTTTTATTCCCAACTGATGGATAATTAAATATCCTTTCAAGAAACATAATTATAGCTTATATATAAAAATTCCAACTTTATTAAATCATTCAAAATTGCTGTAATTGTGTTTTAAAACACTTAATTTCAATAATTTAAATCACCCATAAACAATTTCCATCAATATACATAACTTAGAAACCTAGGGTTTATAATTTGGGGCTTTTTAATTCAAAACCAAATCTGAAATTTTATATACAAAATACTTATCATCAAACATCATAAAATCATCACTAAACCCAAAAACAATTATTAGATTAAGGGTATATTTAATTAAAAATCAAAAAGAATAATTTTTTTTTGTTCGACCACCGACGCACAGCACCACCAAGGCAGGCTGCTGCCGCGCCTGCCTGGTGGCTGTTGCTGCCCACGAGTGTTGGGTGTGGTGGCCGCCGGCCGGTGGGCAGCAGTGGTGGAGGTCGGCGGTGGTGGGGTGTGTGTGGGTGGTGACGCGCCTGCCTGGTGGCTGTTGCTGCCCACGAGTGTTGGGTGTGGTGGCCGCCGGCCGGTGGGCAGCAGTGGTGGAGGTCGGCGGTGGTGGGGTGTGTGTGGGTGGTGATTGAAACAAAAATAAACTAAAGGGGAAGGGGAAAAATTAAGAGAAAAGAGAAAAATAAAAGGAGAGAGAAAGAGAGTTACTTTTGGGTATTCTCCACTTTGGGCAAAGTTTAATTTGCCCATGTGATGGGTATTTATACTCTCTTTTCTAAAACCCTCCCAGACTTAAATTCGTTTTTTTACCCTTTATGATCCCTTTCCTAGTCAAACTAGTATTTTGACTTTCTTTAAAAACTCATTGACTTTAAAATTTCTTTTTATAAAATAATATGCCCCCAATATTTCCAAATCATGAAATAAAATATTTTTCAAGATTGTAAATAATTAAAAATAAACTTTTACTTAAAAATAATTCTTTTTAAATTAATGAAACACCATAAATAATTCATTTCGAATTATTTAAATACTATAAGAAATACTTATTTAAATTAAAATAAGTATAAAAATAGGGGATATTACAATATTGTTCTTTACCAACAAGTCAAAAACCATATATGCAACTTTTTCTAGGATTTTAAGGAGATGCCCCTATTGTTGCTGGTTTCAATTTGATAACCTCGCTAACGTAACACAACAAATAAGTAAAGAAGATATCCCTAAAGAAGTTATATAAGAGTTGAATCCCCAAATTAAAGGAATGAAAGATAATCATTCATAAAAGATGCATACGTTTTCCATTAATTAAAAGATAAAGTCAGGGCTACAATTGTACTACAAGAAGGAAGAATTACCTCCGTTTTCATACAATTGAAACAAACAGACGATCTTCAATACATGCTAAGTTATCTAAACAATCGCTTGGCTACTAAGCTAAGGGAAAACTAAGAAAGTGCTAATGAAAACTTACAGAAATTGATATTCTTTTGTTGGTTGATTTGTTGATATCCTTTCTTTTGAGATCCTTTCTTTACTTATAGGCAAAAAGCCCCTTTAATCTACCCATAAACTTCTTGTAATCGCTAGTCGATTTGTTCTTCTCGGCGCCAATATCTTATTTGAATTTAACTCTAACTGCACAAATGCCGCTCCTTCATAACTTTGGGCTTGATATTGTATTCAGCGTTCACTTGAGATGATGGTCAATCCAGCACTGAATTGTCTTATACTTAAAGTCAAACACCCTACATTTGGTCAATCTCCCCTAAACTTGTCAAAGTCAACGCGAGTCAACAAAATTTTAATTTTAGATGTAACAAATGCCCCCCTAATTTGTATGATTGACGACATTTTGAAACCATACAAATTAATAATTCTAGGCAATTTTAAGAAGGACTGAGTCAATTAAATGATACGATTAATAAGACAACATTCAAGGTATTTCATTAAAATATAGAAATATATACGCACAAAAGAAAGGAACACTTCAAGAATATATCTCTTGATAGTAAGTGTTCTATACAAAATCTAAGGCCTAAGTATTCCAGAAATATATTTATTGTGTGGCCAATTAAAATTCATCGTCACTAGAGATGTCATCAATAGCTTTCTTCAACCTTGGGCTACCTAGATAGCCTTCAAACACATCGTCGCTAGGCTCGACCAACAACCAGTTGAATCGGTTGTTGAAGTCAATCTCATAGTCACAACACTGACAAGCGCATTTGTATAGGAGGGTGTGGATTCCCTTGTTTGATCCTCGAGTTGCCTTGACTCGATCATAGTCACTAACATATTGGTATGACTTTCCTTCCCCCTTCCCAATCCCTTTTTTAATTCCATTATCTCTACCCGTTAAAAATCAAATGCCTCCTAATTAGACCACTTCCAATGGTGAGCAAAAAAAATGCTTGTCCACTATCTCTCTACCCACTTTCTCTCTCAACAAATCAGTTTTGCCCATGGGCAAATTTTTTTCACAATTTCTCTCCCAATGGTGAGCAAAAAAAAATGCTTACCCACCACTCTCTCTCTCTCTCTCTTACTTTTTCAATACCCCACCATTACTTTCTCTCTCCTACACAACACTTCTTTATTTATTAATTTCATTTATATTTTAACAATATTACTCTAAATAAATAAAAATAAGTCTAAATTTGTGTAACTTTTTTTTATTTGTGTCGTTTTTATCGTTAAAATTTGTCGTTAAATTATGTACGTTAGATGAAATAAAGAATATGGAGGATTTATGGAATTTTTGAAATTATACCAAAATGCATGTCTATTTATAGAGAAAATTTTTTTATGACCGTTGATAATTTTTTTTATTTTTTTTAATAAATATTTTTTTTTAGAAATTGAATTACAAAAAATATAACCGTTGCAACAGCTATATTTTTCTTATTGGTCAAGACCCTGCACATGCCACGTGGTGCTCCCGGATTGGATCACTGACTGACGCGCGTTAGTCAGTTTCTTTATGCTGGCAGCAACTTGTGGAACCCACCTTAGCACTATTCATCTTCAAATTTGCCCAACTCTTGGGCATTTTATCAAATGCTCATGGGTATTTCTTCATTGGAGCACTCCCAATGGTGATCAAAAAAATATGCTCATGGGCATTTTGGGTGGGCAAAAAATATGCTAATGCATTACAATGGTGATCAAATGAAGAAATGCAAAAATATGCCCATGAGCATTTCTTAAAATGCCCAAGACTTGGGCAAATTTGAAGATGAACAGTGCTCTGTGTGGGCCCCACAACGTGCAGCCAGCAATAAAAAAATTTGGCTGATCCAACCTCAAAACGCGTCGTTTCGCTAAGGGGGGCAGAAGAATGCACCTCAAAACGCAGCGTTTTGAGGTTGGAATTTTGAAAAAAAAAATTAAAAAACTGACTGACGCGCGTCAGTCAGTGAACAAATCCGGGGATGCCACGTGTCATGCGCAGGTTTTTGACCAATAAGAATAATATAGCTGTTATAACGGTAATTTTTTTTGTAATTCAATTTCTGAAAAATCTAATTATTAAAAAAAAAAATTACCAACGGTCACAATTTTTTTTTCTCTATAAATAGACATGCATTTTGGTATATTTTGGTATAATTTCATAAATATCATAAATCCTCCATATTCTTATTTTTTTAAATATTTCTAGTAATGTACCGCTTTTTAAAATAAATAAAAACATTTACCAAATTTGGAGCTTTTTTTACAATTATTTCATCTAACGTACATAATTTAACGACAAATTTTAACGATAAAAACGACACAAATAAAAAAAATAAGTTACACAAAATTAAACTAGTTTTTATTTATTTGGAGTAATATTATTAACATATAAATGAAATTAATAAATAAAGAAGTGTTGTGTAGGAGAGAGAAAGTAATGGTGGGGTATTGAAAAAGTAAGAGAGAGAGAGTGGTGGACAAACATTTTTTTGCTCACCATTGGGAGAGAAATTGTGAAAAAAATTTGCCCATGGGCAAAACTGATTTGTTGAGAGAGAAAGTGGGTAGAGAGATAGTGGTCAAGCATTTTTTTTGCTCACCATTGTGAGTGGTCTTAGCCCATCATTGTAATTCATGAGCTAATTTTTTGCCCACCAAAATGCCCATGAGCATTTTTTTTGCTCACCATTGTCATTGCTTTAAGTGTTAAATACCCTAGGTGTGTTGATACCAACTAGTTTAATTTGTTAAAGTCTTATTAGTGATACCCAAGATTTTATTAGGATCAAATCTCGTCTCTATTTTTACTTATTGTGACTTTGTCTCAAAAAAAAAAAAAAACCTTATATTGTTATAACACTTGCCACAATAGATGCAATAATTAAAAAAAAAAAAAACGAAGGAGTATTAAAATTTATAAACAAAATTAATATGACCAAAAAAAAAAGTGTAAAAAGAGCTACAACTACGAGGACATTAGTGTAGAAGAGATTCGGATTCTAGGTCTTAGATACGACTATAACCCCCAAAACTTACCTTTTTTTTTAATTTTTTTTTTTTACTAATTAAGGTAATTGACATCTAAAAACAAGAAAATAAATGTACTAACAAGATAATGCTAATTGCACTTCACTAGATTGACAACATGGATGATGATAAAATAGCCAACTAATAACCAGCAATCACGCACACAAACATCCAACTTCCCACTTCTTTCCTCCCATAACCCATCCTTAAAATTAGTTAGCCGGTTTTAACACCCAAACATCAACCCCATTATCACAAGTTAACTCATCCACGTCTACTCTCACTTTCGTTATTAAACAACCCTAGATTATGACATTATAAGGCATAATATTATTACTCCGTATTATTATTAAAAATAAACCAATAATTAACAAAAATATTTAACATTTTAAGACCAATTCATCGTATAACGCGGCGAATAATTCTCTAGATTCTCTCTCCTCTCTCAAACCCCTCTTCCCTCTTTCTTCATCTCCGACCCCTTCGCTCAACTTCTTCAATTTTAGTGAGAGAAAAACACAGAATTAAGAGAATATCATATCATATATTAGATTACTTAATTTAATTTAATTAAAATTAATTAGAGTTATAAAAAAAAAAAAAATTAGTTTGTGGGTTGGGGTTATATGGGGAATGGAACATTGGTGGATGGGGTTCGTCGATGGTTTTCTCGTCGAGGAGTTGTTGTTGCTAATAATAGTTATAAATTAGATGAGTCAATTAATAATAATAATAGTAGTAATAGTAGTAGCAGTAGACAGGTGTCTGTGATTTCCGAATTCAGCGGCAAACAGATTAATAATCATTCTTCATCAAAACAACAAGGAGAAGAAGAAGAACAACAAGAGTTTAATATTGAATTTGACTTTGATCTTTCTGGGTTGAAACCTATCAAAGTTCCTAAACGTGCTCCTACTTCTCGTTTTCCTCTTCCAATGGATCCTCACAAGAAGGTTTATTCTTTTTTTTTTTTTGGTTGATTTGATTGAGGAGATTGGTATTGTTTGTGAATTGGGTTTGTGTTAGATTTGTGAATTATTTGCAAGTTTGGTTGTATTTGTGATTTTTTTGGTTTGTTTGTTTGGTTTAATGATTTGATTTTCTTCTCCCCATTTTGTGATAATGTGGTAATCTGTGTTAATTTTTTGTTTTCATGGTAATTGTGATCTGTATTGCATTGGTTGTCTGTGTTGTATTATGGTTCTTAATTTTAGTAATTTAAAGATATTTTATGCTATGATCTTTTTCATTGAAATAATCAAAGCACATCTAAATGTCGAATTGAAGTTTTCTTCTTAAGGAAAAATGTTGGCATATTATCAAGGAATTGTGGTAATCGAAGAGTTGTATGTAAGCAACAATACTCGTGCATTTGTGAAGAGGATCGTTTAGCCTTACCCCTATAACGATACTTCAACTTAAATAAGAAGTAAATAACTTCTAATTCAGGCATGGTGTTTAGTCCATTGTAATTTAAAGTTGAAAAGTTGCTGATTAGAGGCCCTTTGAATTTATAATGAAGTCAACTTTATTGGCAAAAGCCCCAGAATTCACGTTTATTGTTTTTTCTATATAGTACCTTTGCTACCTATTTTATATATGTAGTACTCTCTAACAAAGTGGTTCAACAGATTATTAATTTATGTTTAGTGTACATTTTCATTGTTTTTGGAAATAAGCAAAAAGCTTGGGGATTCTTTTTTAAATGCAATTTTAAGATGAGATGGCTTGGTTGTTACATTAGTGTAATAGATTGAGAATTCTATAAGTCAAAGATGTGATACTCAAGGAGAATGCTGCTTTTAAAAATAAACTAATGAAGAAGTAATAATGAATTAGGCAACCTAATGAACAACAGGGGCAAGGCTTAGAGGGGGAAAAAAATCAAATTGGATATGAGATCCTCCTGTTGTACTAACTGTATCCCAAACTGACACAGAAGAACACATAGATAATTCTAAGGTGCTTGACAGAAGCATTGTCCAAGAAACCTGGCGAAATTGACTCCATATAGTATCTTCTAACACAGTAGAACATATTAGCAGATCATATGGCAGAGCTTGGCCTTTTATTTTACCTATTTAAACTTATAAGTTCTACCCAAATTTGTTCTTTATCAAGTACCAATGAAAAGTTGCAATTTTACTTTCATTGATGAAGAGGACTTTGTATAGAGTATAGATACTTTTGAGTCATATTTGTTGCCCTTGTTTCATCAGATTAGTATTTTATTTCATTTTAATGACAATTTTTAAATTCTAATTATTCTACCTTCACTTGCTATAAGATGTGCATGCTTATCTGTGCTGTAAGTTAAAGTGATGATTTTCAAAGTCATTTCTGAAGTACAGGGTTGCTATTGTGGAGTGTGGACTATGCAATTGTGATGAACATATATGGTTTGGTAGGGAAATTTGCTCATGACATAGGCCACTTTTAATTCTTTCATGTATATATGATTGATTTGATCACCCCCACAACCCCCCCCCCCCCCTCTTCTCTTTTTCTCTTATCCCAATACAACAAATGTGTTGAGAGTCTTTCAGAATCAGCCTCTTAAATAATTTTCGGCTGTTTAGGCCTTAGGGGTAGGGATATGTATCTGAACCTTTCATACCTTGTCTTGTTGGACTGTAAATGTGGTGATGTTTTTTTTTTTTTTTTTCCTTTTCTTTTTTTTTACACCCTAAAATGAGTGATACTTCAAGCTTTGAGATGTTTTTATTAAATGTGGTTATTAAATAGAATAATATGATTGGTTATGTTGGGAATGGGTCTGCAGTATGGACTATGAAAAAATCTACAACATATCATTGCTGTTTTAGGTAGTGTTATGTTACCTTTGAGATGTTCTAAAAGATGAAGTATTACATTTTTGGATGGATAGAAGTTTTCATAGATCTAGCATTCAATCTGGTGCTATTTTCTCCCCTTAACTTCATGTTTCTAAAATGTGCTTTCAATGTTGTTTAGAGTGCACTGGAAAATGATTTCTTCACAGAGTATGGAGAGGCAAGCCGTTACCAAGTTCAAGAAATTATTGGGAAAGGAAGTTATGGTATTGTTGGTTCAGCTGTTGATACTCATACAGGAGAAAAAGTAGCTATTAAGAAGATCAATGATGTCTTTGAGCATGTTTCTGATGCCACCAGGATACTGAGGGAAATCAAGCTCCTACGGCTGCTTCGTCATCCAGATGTTGTAGAAATAAAGCACATTATGCTCCCCCCTTCTCGAAGAGAATTTAAAGATATCTATGTAGTTTTCGAGCTGATGGAATCTGATTTGCACCAAGTAATAAAAGCAAATGATGATTTGACTCCTGAACACTACCAATTTTTCTTGTATCAGCTTCTACGAGGATTGAAATATGTACATACAGGTTAAATTTGTAGATTTTGCTCATGAGACCAGGCCTTGGTTCTGTTGCCTTGACAACTGATGATCAGATTTTCTCTTCTTCTTATGCAGCAAATGTTTTCCATCGAGATTTGAAGCCTAAAAACATCCTTGCTAATGCGGACTGCAAGCTTAAAATATGTGACTTTGGCCTTGCTCGCGTTTCATTTAATGATGCCCCATCAGCTATCTTTTGGACGGTATCTGACTGAACAAATTTGTCCAAGTTAACCCCAGCCTAAATTTACTCCCACATCTTTTGCAATTGCTCTCTTGCTAATACTGTTTATATATATATATATATATATATATATATATATATATATATATATATATATATATATATATATATATATATATATTATGTGAAGGACTATGTTGCAACTAGATGGTATCGTGCTCCAGAACTCTGTGGCTCTTTTTTCTCTAAGGCAAGTTTTCATTTTTGAAGCTTATAGCTGATGCTTCTTGTTATTTCTTTATCATTCAACTTAGGGGAGGCACTATGAAGTGTTGTTATAGTGGTTGCTCATTTTTGTTTTGTTTTAACTTCTGCTCTTGGTTGTACTAGATAGTCGAGATTGAATCTGTAATAATTGTTTCAAATTGGCTCCTGAAATCCATTCCATAACAAGTGAAACCAACTTTGGGGGTGTCTTCCCCAAATTATCCTAATACCTATATTCTGTTAAGCAGGTTAAAGGTCCACGTGGTACATGTACATTATCAATGGATTTCCTATTATTCTGTTTTGGTTTTTCACCCATCCTACCTAATCAAGGGCTGAGACTGTTAAAAATAGAATGGTTTTAGTTGGGACTATATGTTAATTTCTCCTTTAGCTATTAGTTTCCCTCTAAAAGCTTAAATTATAATGGTTATAGTTGGGAATATATGTTGATTTATCCTTTAGCTATTTAGTTTCCCCCCAAAATCTTTTTGCCTAAATTTAAACATATCCATGTCTTCCTACATCCTGAAACAGCTCAATGCTAATTAATTTTACCCAGCACCTTTCAACGAACAGCAAACACTAACAACAGTTCATGCTTAGTTATAAATAGCTAATATATTAGCTCATACAATTGACTGACTTCTGACAGCTTTAAGTTGTTTGTGAAATTCTCCTTAGATATGTAATAGAGTTGAATAGAATGAAATGTATAAGAAAAGAAGCTCCTGTAAGCTATAGCCAAACCACTTTTGAATTGTAAAAATGTTGCTTCTGTAAGGACCTTTATATGGAGGGTAATTGTATAGCTTGCTGTCCCCTATGCAGCAGTACAAGACAGTTATTGAGATGTTTGATTTTATTCATTGGACTCCAAAGTAGAAAAATTGCCGATAAATACTCTTTCAATTTTATCGATATGGACATTGTATAGGCAACATTTTTTGTGGTAATTCATAACTGTAAAGCTCTCACTGTTATTCTTAATTACTGACTTTACTGTTTTGTTCACTGTGTCATTAATGTTATATACATTTTACTGGCTTGTGTTGTATGCTTACTTTGCACTACTTGAATGTAATGTTATCTGTCTTTTTATTCAACTGTGCAGTATACACCAGCAATTGATATCTGGAGCATAGGATGTATATTTGCAGAAATGCTCACTGGAAAACCATTATTTCCTGGAAAAAATGTGGTGCATCAGTTGGACCTTATGACAGATCTTATGGGGACTCCACCCCCTGAAGCCATTTCAAGGGTTAGTTCTTATACTAGTGAGTTATTTCCGCGTTCAAGTTTATCAAAGGTTAAAAAGTTGAATTGGATTTGCAGCTGAACAAACTTACATGCATAATGTCTGTTCATCAAAATGTCATGAAAGCTTCATTTTTCGTCTTATTTTATTTTATTTATTCTTTTGAATTCATGTTCTTGTTCTGATGTCTTATTCTTTCTGTTATTAGATAAGAAATGAGAAGGCCAGAAGATATTTAAGTAGCATGAGGAAAAAGCCACCAATCCCATTCTCACAAAAGTTTCCTAATGTAGATCCATTGGCTCTTCGCCTTTTAGAGCGTCTTCTTGCATTTGATCCCAAAGACCGACCATCCGCTGCAGAAGTATGCAATCTGAACTTTGGGCCTTTGGCTGCTTTCTGATTGTAAGCATATCATTGTCAGGTCATTTGATTGAATGATTTGTTAATTGTGAGGATTTCTTGTTATTTTTGTTTTGCAGGCATTAACTGATCCATACTTTTATGGATTGTCAAGTGCAGATCGTGAACCTTGCACTACTCCCATTTCAAAACTGGAATTTGAATTTGAACGGAGGAAACTGGCAAAAGATGACGTTAGAGAGCTAATTTATAGAGAGGTATGGCTTGTAAATTTGGTAATACTGAAATATAGTACTGGTAAATGGTTAGACTTGATAGTAACTGCTACAAAAAAAATTCCATGAAGTAAACAGATATTGGAGTACCATCCCCAGATGCTTCAAGAATATCTTCGTGGTGGCCAGGATCAGACTAGCTTCATGTACCCCAGGTAGGCTTGCATTCTTTTTATTTTTTTATTTTTATTTTTATTTTTTATTAATTTTTAAAATTTGGTATTGTTTCATATCTTCAGAAATCATAAGTTCTATCTATTTGTATATTTGTTCTAGATCTATACTGTTGGTGACATATGACTGCTTCAATTTCTACTCAAAAGTTATCTGCTTATTGATGTATCTTGTAGTCATTATAAGCTTCTTCACTATCTATCAATCATCAATAATGGTTGCGGCTTTTTTGCTGAGACTATATATCTATTTTATTCAGAGTAAAATCTGAGCAAAATAGTCCATTGTTACTCAACGTTTATTAAATCCACCAACATGCTTTTGTTGAAACTATATATTGATAGAAACTTGTGTGCTATTTTGTGTTAATATGCCAGCTTGCTGATTTCATAATAATCCTTTACTTTTTTGAAGACAGACGGTCTGCTATTGTGGCCAATTTGATAATTGTCATTAAATTTGTAAGGACGTGAGATGGTTTTTTACTTCTCATTGTCATTGAATTCAAAATAATGTGCTGGTTCAGGCTGGAAATGAAGCCAATTTCAGATTCTTGAACTCTATTTATCTCTTCTAAACTAGAAGACAGTTGGAGAAACTAAGCCCTCCACCTACTCTCATTTATATTACCTCCTCTCCTATCTTTCTCTCCAACAATGTTAAGAGAAACTTCTGAAATAATACGCTATTACAAGGATTATTAGAGTTGTTTTTTATGTATATGAAATGTGACTCAGCCATGCCTGTTTTTCTTCCTCTACCTCTCCTTCCCGTTCTGTTTGTATGGAAGAAAATAATGAACTAATTCTGTTTGATTTGTTTATTCTTTGATGAGCCTGTTAGTCTCACTAATTCATAGGGATTTACCCAATCTCAGTTTTCTTTTTCTTGATCATTGTTTCTGAAGCTCTCTTTATCTTTTTACAATCTATGAAATCTAAGCAATCCATCATATGACTGTTGATTGTAAGAAAAATACTGTTGAGTAAGCATCTTGTGTTGAAGCTGGGAGGTTCAAATATACACAACTTTATGCCAAACTGCTTGAGCCTTGTAAAGTAGTTTTTGAAAGAAGTGTTTAAAACTTGCTCTAGAAGTGTCAGTTTAATGAATGTTCATTGTAAGTAATAATATGCCTCATTCTAGGAATAACACCATAAAGAGGAGTGGGTAGAAGGGGGACTCACACCATAAAAGAGCAGATATTACATCCTAGGGAAGTAAACTGTCTAATCAAACTCTCTTTTCAGCTTGTTAGTCGCCTAGACTCCTATGGTATGAAAGAAGCTCTCTTGTATTTACGAGCGTGAGCGAGTAGAAAGGCTGACCACTGCATTCGCTTAAATGGATGCTGGAAGTGAGTTTGTATTACACCATATATTGGGTTGCAAATGAATCAATATTATTTTTGTTGTTGTAACTGAAACTGTGTGAATTCTGTGAGCCAATTCTAGCATTTGACTGTGTCCATAATATTTACGCATTGCTAGCAACTAAGAATTTGCCAAGCTTTTTTTTTTGGTAAGAAATATGCCAAGCTTTGTCTTCCCTGAAAAACCTCTATTAATGCTGATAGCTGTAATGATATAAAATCTATATAATAGCCTCCTTGTCTCTGCACTTCTTATCGTCACCAATATAACTAAACCTAGCCATTCAATTTGACACCTGCCTACAACCACCTAGCATTTGACCGTTTTTCTCCTCACTCCATCCCCACCCCCACCCCCATGATGATCCCACCAGGGCCGTCAAATTCTTCTTGACCGCTAGTATCCACCACTCTTGCTCATGATTCTTTGTGACTTTAAACCACCATCCTAAACTCCATCGCCACCACCGTAATGTCTTCATCATGTTTTGGTTGCAACAATAAACATGGATCTACTTCTATATAACTTGAAGTTTTGATGCTAGATTACAACATCCAAACAAGAAAGGAGTAATGTAATTAAACAATCTTAACCTTGCTTCTTACGTGTCCTCTTAATTAGAAGTGACATGTAACTTCTCACTTTAATATGTTGCATCCTGCATCCTCCTTTTTGTCACCGTTACTTATGACGATAAAACATGTCTCCTTTATGTTGCATCCTGCATCCTCCTTTTTGTCACCATTACTTATGACGATTGTATTCATATACCAGCACAATGTCTCGACAGCCTACTTGGATAGACATAATTGCCTTCCCCCTTTTAAGTTTTTTATCATCCAATCATCTCGAAGTGCTCCTCCATTATTTGTATGAATGCTATGTATTGTTTGCTGATAAATCTTGTGTCTTCCATCTTATTCTAACTTAACTTGAAATCCTTTGACCCTCACATTCCTTGGACCATGTTTATGAGATCATTCATTAATTATGAATAGGATTAGGAACTTAAAGTTGATCTTTGGTGTAACTTAGTTTGACAAACTAGGTTTTCTTTCCCACCCGGCATTCTCATGCTAGTCTTAATTCCATATGCATTATTCTTTACTATAATCTGATAAAATTAGATATTAAGCAACCCAGGCGCAGCTCCTTGCTTTTATGGCACAAGCCAATGCTCACTCGATTGTAATTTGGACATGGGATTTACCAACTGGTTGATTTGGTCTCTTCATTTTACACCTGTAAGAACTAATATTCCTTGTGAAAGCTAAACTTCATTCCTTTGGAATCACGTTGGCACTATAACTTTCAGCCTAATGCATTCCAGTATTTTATAGGCACTATATTTGCATTTCAAAGGTAACACTTCAAGAATATTATATATATTAGCTTTTCAAAGGTAGTAGATAGCGTTTGTTTAATAATACGTAATAGTTAGTTTTTACCAAAAAAAAAAAAATGTATGACTTTTATTGTATTTTAATATTCTATCAGCTACTTTTTCCGAACAATAGTACTATTAACAACTAATTTGACAGCTTACCTTTACCTGCTACTAGTTAACAGCTACATGTTACTTTGACAGCTAAAAGTTATGCTACAGCTAATTTTGTTGAACTAAACAGGATTCTTTGTCCTAGGCTCCTTCCATTAATTTCTTTCACTACACCTTGGCATCTAAAATTCTTTTGATTGTAGTTGTAAAGGATTTTAATATAAGGTTTTTGCATGGTTATTTGCTAGAGTAATTTTCTATGTATCATGTTGGCATTATGCCTCGGACTTTTTCTTGGATGGTCTCACCTGGTTTCTAGTGTGATTAGTGGTGTGCTATGATTTCTACTTTAAGGGAAGAATACCTTTTTTTTTTTATTTTTTTATTTTTTTTTATTTTTTATTATTTACTCTGGTGAAATAAAAATTGCATAAATATTCTGTTAAACCATGGACTGGTATCCTGGTCAGTGTGTATATAGCTTCCATTCTATATGTGATTATGATTTTTTATTTCTGGTTGTCATGGCTTTGAGAAACTAAGAACATAATGGTTCTTCAGTTTTCTCCTAGTTTCAATGTTCATATCAATATAACTTGTTTGGTTTTTGATTCTGAGGTCTTTTACTTCAAATGACATTCATGCTTACCTTATTTTCTTTGCTCCTTTCCTTTTGACTTCATACTTTGAATTTGTTACGGAAAAATGTACAAAAATGGATATTGGATGCATCTATAATGTTGGTAATTTAATGCGGAGTATCGACTGAAATGTCTTTCTTTTGGTGTCCTAACAGTTTTTTTAGAAAAAAAATTTATTTATTTATTGAGGGTGTGGGAGGGAGGGAAGGCGATTTCTGTCTTCATCTTAAATGAATCAACAAAATTATAAATTCTGGGTTCGTATAGGTAATTCTAGATATTTGCATCAGGTTTTGTTCATGCTGTGTATTTTTGGATCTCACACGTACTGTTGCTACCAAATTACTGAACTCCTGTAATTGCTTTTCTCTTGCGCAGTGGAGTTGATCGATTCAAGAGACAGTTCGCTCATCTCGAGGAACATTTAGGTAAAGGTGAAAAAAGCACACCACTCTCGAGGCAGCATGCTTCCTTGCCTAGGTAAATCTGTTTGTATCTCTGCTACTGATAATGTATAGTGGCTCTCAGGACTTGGTTGCCCAGTAATTTTTGCTTGGCGGTTAGCTTTACAAAAGAAACAAATAATGTGAGCGCCACCGTGAGTGATAATACCATTGGCTTTGTCGCCTACTCGCCTTTATGGCTCCATCCTTTTCTTTTCTCACCTCCCTACAAAAGAAAACGAAAATTGAAATATAAAGATCTATACTATATTACTATTCCAAAAACCTAAGGCTATAGGCACCACATTATATCCATAGTGTTGACATGTCATATGATGTAACATCACATTTTACAAGTATTCCACACAAACATCATGATTCATCCGTTCCTTTTTATTCTCTACATTTTGACGTTTGATGTTCAACTTTTGAAACTTTGATTATAAATAAGTATTACATCAAAACTATATTATATGAGATCTTGTTAGATTCGGCTTGAAACTTATTTTCCAAATATCAAATTTTAAAATTACACATATCATATTGAATATATACTAGGTCTAAGATGTGCATTGGAGACTGTGAAATTCGAAATTTAAAGAATAAAAAGAAATGGAGGGAATACTTGATATGAAATAAAAGTATAATACAACTTTCCTTACATTGAATTCAATTTCATAGATTTAATTAAATTCAATGCCCAACTATTTAAGTTCCAAATAGATCAATTCAATACCTATATTCCAATTAAAAAAAGGAAAAATAATTCACCTTACTTGCAACAACCCATAGCATTGCCCTGTTCAAAAATTCATTATACGAAGTATAAATAGTATGCTATTCGCAGTTATAATTGGAATTTCCTATCTTCCCTCTGCTGATATTGTCTATATATGTTTCCATCTTACTTTCTAGGGAGCGAGTTCCTGCACCTAAAACTGATGCAAATGAAAACAATGACATGGAAAATCGAGCAGTTGCTCGTACTGCTCTTGAAAGCCCTCCCAAGTCAAACGCCGATGGATCAGAAAATGAAGTGCCTCAAAATGGTCAAAATAAAGGCAACTATAGCGCTCGGAGCTTGTTGAAGAGTGCCAGTATCAGTGGTTCCAAATGTATAGGGGTGCAATCCAGAAAAGACCCTGAGGTATAATATCTCTTCCTCAATTCTGTGGATTGTCCTGCTTGTTTTTCCAGATTTGTTGACATGCAACAAGCCAAAAATAATGAAACGGATATAAAATAATGTTGATGCAACTATAAATCCATGGTGGTGTTATGTAATGTGTTTGTTACAAAGCTGCTAGTGAAGATTTTTTTATTTATTTATTTATTTATTTATTTATTTTTTTTTTTCCCCTAGACTCTACCATGAATTCACAACTTCTCCAATTTCAGGAAGAACCAATTGCAGAGAATGAGGAGGCAGTTGATGAACTTACAAAAAAGGCTACAGCCCTCGCAACCTGATTATCTGAGATAGTTGTGGATACTGGGGTTAGATGTCTTATCTGCATTCCTCGCGATTTCAAAATTTGAAATCGCATCTGGAACATCATCCACAAATATTTACAGAAAATTTTGGGCCTTTTCGTGTTCCCGATAGACATCAAGGATTAGATTTCCTGTTGTCACTCTTTCGCCAATTGTTGTCTTAAAATTCATCGTATGCAACGAAATGGAGGGAAGGGTGGGGGATATGATTTGCCCTCCATTTAAGTTTGAGACTGTGATTTTGCAGTTCAATTTTTTAATATCCTTTTTGAGCTTAGAAAAGCATGTATACCTTTTCTTGGCCTTTAAGACGTAATTTATGAAGAAAAAGTTTTCCATGCTCTCACTGCTTACATATTTGTTATTGCCATTATAAGCAGCTCTCTGATGATTGTAGTTTGTAATCTGAGTTTTTTATACCTAGTAATTAGTGAGTTATCTCTTTTTTTATTTTGTAATGTATTTACTTTAATCTTCTGAGGGGAGACATTACTTTCACTTAAAAGATTGTATACGTGAATTGTGAAAGATGATAGGTCAAAAGTTGTAAAAAAAAGAATTAAATTTTAAAAATAACATTACTTTGAGTTAATATTGTACTGCTTTCCATAATTTTAAATGAAAATTGCTTTCTGGATGATAAAGGGATCTGGAAGAAATATGGTTTAGATTAGATGAATTGACTTTGTAGTTGAATCATCAGTGGTGCCATAAGCGCTAGGGGTGTTCAGATCCGGGTGCCATCAGTGGTACCCGAATTATCCGGGACGGGATACGGGTACCCGGATTTTATTGAGTTACAACCACTAGCTTCAAACTGTGATAAATTTAAGCAGGATACTAGATTGGATGTTGAATGCTAAAGAATTGAAAGATGTCTATTCATGCATGATGAGGTTCTAGCAGATAAAATGTTATTTCAAAGTCCAATTTCATCACATGCAATTGCAACCAAACCAAATCCAACTGCTTCAACTTAAATAAATTGCAAAGTAAAAATAAGTAAATAAATATACATGAAACGCTTTGCTAATGTCCAAATTCTAGGCAGCCACCAGCCGCCGATTCCACCACGCACCAAGGCAGCCCAGCCACACCTGCCAAAATGCACATTCTAGCCAACATTAAAAAAATCAATAACTACATCAAAAAAATACAAAATCTAACAACAAAAATTATACACTCAATGTAACTTAAAATTACAATTATATAAAGAAAAATACAAGAAATTAAAATCTGAAATTTGATAAAAAAAAATAAATAAATGATAAAACTAGATCTAAATTCTTACTTAAATTAAATTTAGATCTGAAAAACGTTGGAGTGAGGTGGGACGTGGTTGTTCTGGGTTGCTCGGTGGTGGGTTGCTGTGGGTCTCCCTTAAACGACAAACTATGCACCATGTACATTCTGGGTTGTTCTAAAAGTGGAGCACTTAAACGACAAACTATGCACCATGTACAAACTATAAAAAGTGGGTTGCTCGGTGGTTTTCATTATCACGAGGAGAGAGAAAGAGAGTAACAGTGGGGAAGAGGAGAGAGAAAGAGGAGGATGAGGATATAAAAAGAAAGAGAAGGAGATAGGGTGGGTAGTGGGTATTGGCCTACTTACTGGGTAATTGGGTATACCGTACACTTACTTAGTAAGTGGGCTTGCTGATTAACTTCTTTAATTTTTTTTTATTTTTTTTTAAACGGGTATCCAGGTACCCGAGAATAGCAAAGCTTGTTCCATGTCCCGGCCTACGAAACTGCTTAGCGGAATGAGTACCCGACCCGAAAAAAATAGAAAATTCGTAAATTTCCCATTGGGTTTTTTACGGGTTATCGGGTAATCGGGACGGACAATCGGGTCGGGTTTTTTTGAACACCCCTAATAAGCGATGTACAACCAACATTAATATTTTTGACAATGGTTGTCAAAATTTTTGACAACCGAAGCTTTCAATAAACGCTTAGGGTTTATCAAAACTATATTGATAAACCTAAGAGTATCTCAAATAGCAAGCTAATTGTTAAATTAGTTTTTCATGCTACTTGAGATTTCAAATCAATTCTCTTTGTAGCTAATTTGAACCTAATAGTTAGCTACTAGCTTTTTATTTAATGAGCCCTACTTTTTTTAATTAGTTTTACTTTTTACAATTAAATTTTGCATTATTACTATCAATCTCCCATCTTTTTGAATTTTTTTCACAAACAAATTTATTTTGCTAGCTTATTGTATTTTTTTTTAGCTAATAGCCAGAAACTTTTAAAGATTGCAAGCAAATCCCTACCTACAATCATTATAGTCACTCTAGACCTATCTCTATATTTTTATAATGAGTATAGTGCTGTTCTACAGGGAAAATTAAGATTGTTTGAAGTTTTAACTAGTTTTAATTTTGTTGAGAGGTTTTTTAAGGGGGGTTTTAAATTTTGGATTCTAATAGCAAATAGTGGAATAATCACAAAGGAGAATCAATATAAGAAAAAAAAAATAAATAGGGATGTGGCTACTAGCATTCTTCAACTCTCACACAGTTAAAATTTAGAGGGGAATACTCACTCTAAGGCACATTGGAATGTCTTACTAAGGGTAAGTATTCTACATATTTTATTAACGCGCCCCTTAATTGGAGAAACCCTTAATAAATTTCTCCCACAGGCCCCGCCTGGATCGAGGGAAATTGGGGTGTAAAAATTAAAGGGTAAATAAATTATGGGCTTATATTCTTTGCCTGGATTGAGTTTAATCTTTTGGGCCCGGAAAAATTGCCCCTCAAATGAGGATAATATAATTATCCGGCTAAAAAATTCTGTCTAACCTAGTGTCTCTCTTCTCACAACCATACATGTGCTTTCTCATTTTCCTATATTCACTTTTTTCTTCCTTCCTCGTCCATGAAATTGCAATTTGAGTTCGAATATATTTTTGAATCTGGTATGCATTATGATGTTTTTGCTTTAATAATTTTTTAATTTTGATTTTCACTTATTATATATTTACTTCAATTTTTTTTTCGATTTCAAATTTCAATTGTATACTTTACCTTAATTTTTTTTCAAACATTTTTGTTTGATTTTCCAAAGGACCCGATTCATTTTTTTATTTTTTATTATTTTGACGAGAATTTTACTGTGACTTTTCAGATTATTATGTAGTACTCCGTATTACCTTAAATTCAATTATCTAAGTTTTTATAAAGTATTTTTCATGTGATTTTGTTGATAAAATGGGTGAAAATAAAAAAATAAAAAAAAATTGTGGGATGTTTGTCTTGACTAGGCTTAATAATATTGAGATAAATTTCATATTAGTTAATTAGATTTAGCTCTTATAGTTTTATTGGGATTAATCAGATTTTTAATAATTTTTAAGTAAGAATGATTGTGAAATTAAGGAATCGAAGTACATATTTTTCCTAGTAATATGGAGTAATACCAAACACGAGATTAAATTTCCCTAGTATTAAGATACCTTGTGCCGAACCTGATGTAAATGAGTCCTTTTAATAGTTTCCCTCTACAATTTCTACCTTTTGACAAATCCCCTCCTAATCATTAACCCCCTAGCCATTCCCTTAGATCCAGATAAGCCATTAATCTCCATATTCTGGTTGAAACCCAACCCCTAAGCAGTAGTGTAGTAGGAGAACTGAGTGGGTCGGTACTCCTCCTCGGTCACTGGCGAGCCTTATTCCATCAGAGCAAAGTTGAGACTGGTGGTTCGGTTTCATTACTACTTTGCTTTTAGACCCTCATTTAACTTGCAATCGTGTTCGTAGCCGGTGGTGGCCCGATGCCGTAGTCGCTGCCGATCCTTCTCCTTCTTCTTCTTGTAGGTTCTCTTATTCATTTAAGAGCCTTAAGTAAGGTTGTTTTATGATTTCTTTTTTTAGCCTTATAATCTCTTATTGTGGTTTAATGGACCGCCACAAATTTCTTAATTCCCTTGTGTATGCTCAAACGAATGATGATTGTGATGAAAGTATTGTAAATTTTGCTACTAATAAAAGCCCCCGGAATATCAATAATCAAGCTAAGATCTTGAAAGATGAAGGTATTATTTGATTTAAACTTGGTGATTTCAAATTTGTTGGGGCTAAATATAATAGTGGAATGAAATTTTTTTGCTTTGTATTATTAAAGAATGAGGAAGATAAAATTATTTTGTAGGATCTTGCTATTGTCTTGGAATTAAATCTTACATCTTGTGCTCTTACATTCCATGACTATGAACAGACTAAGGATCTTTAATCTTTCAGTATCAGCTTTACTGTAAATTAAACAATGTTAAAGCTAAATATAGAAGGGGTTTGGCAGAATTCAAGCTTAATCAAGAGAAAGAGGCTTACGAGAACCTTAGTAAGAGGTAGCCAAGTCATAGCCTAATAACCAAGACATTCTCCGTGAGTTGGAGTAAGTGGAGAGCCTATGTTGTGAGGCTAATAAGCTAGGTGGTAAAAGCGGCACTGAGTTTCCTCATCGACTTTCTCTAACTACAATTAAAAAGGGAAAATCGGTAAGTGTTTTGATAGCTTGGACTGCAACTCGTTATCTCATAATGAGGATCAAAGTGAAGTTACTGGCTTGGCTTACACCGACCAGGAGGGTGAAATGGAGGTAGAGATCGAGTTCTATCCCTACCCGCAATGCTTATACTTCTTTGCAAACGTGGAAGATGTTTCAATCTGCTAAAAAAAACAATCGAGAGTCAAGACACACAAAGGAAAAAGACACTAAAAAAATCCATTATATTGTTTCTCCAATTGGAAAGAAACGAAAAACATTCCAATAAGATTTTCACCTTCTCTTATTCAAAACTCAAGCAAGGGAAAGCCTTGAGTTTTTATAAATAACATGCTGGTTCGTGGATGACTTTAAAAATGAAGGGAAAGATTACTCATGATAGGTAGTTGGAAAATCACAAGACTATGGATACCAATGATCCAAAGGCCTTATCTATGCCTACAAAGATGGTGAGTCCGCAAGAGAGGAGATTTGACAAAAACCAAAAGAAAAAGGTTAAGCCCTCTTCTAACTTAGAAGTGGTCAACCATGATGTGGGGGTTGATAACCCCAACACTACTGTTGTGGAGGAGTTAGATGAATCAATAACTTCAAGCCTAATTGATAACAACATAAATTAAGTGGTGGTATTATTGAAAGACATTTTGAAAAAGTTACTTTGCTCTTTTGTAACTTGTGACAATTAATTGCTTGTTTGTTGGTAGCAAATTTACGTTACGTAAATTATTTATACAGTAATTAAATACTCTATATTTAGATTTGTTAATTTTTTTATGCACCAATATAATGCAAGAAATGAAATTTATAGAGAAAATACAAGAATCAAAAGTAAATCACTCCAAAAAAAAGGAATTAGTCAGAGTTTATCGGATATTTGAATATACGGACTGAATTCGGGGGTCTAAATAAGTGAGTTGGATCGGATTCGGACTCGAACGATCCAACTTAGACTAGGACCAATTAGATTCGGAGTAAATTCCGGATCTAAGTCCAAGACTCGTTTATTAAATGGACCATATTTGGATTTGGCCCCATCTGATCTGAGTCCGATCCATTACCAATCCTACGGTAAAGTTCCCATGAGGATATTGATCTAGCTAAAGCGGAATCCGTAGGCTCTAACAAGGATGACCCCATGCCTCTTGAAACTAGCTAATTGTACCCTATTCTCACATCCACTAAGCTACCTTCAAATTCTCATCCAAGAGAGAAAAACAGGATAAGTCGCACACATCAAAGGAGAAGAACAAGAAAGGTAATAGGCATCCCAGGTATTGTTTTTGCATGCATGAGGTCAAAGAAACGTAAATGAGCAAGCCGTGAACATCTAACGTCAATTATTCATGAAGGAAATTGCCAAACCCCATACTTATGCTTGTTATTAGGCCATGAAAGGTGTATCCCCATCCCTTGGTCATCTTCTTGTGCAAGGGCGGTTAAGAGAGTTTTAACCCCAATAAGAAATTTTTTTTTTATCCCTTAGCTTGTCAAATTTTTTTTTTTAACTAAGGCTAATCTGATGCAAGGTAAATGATGTTTATTGTTCAACATAATGCATATGCCAAAAAATAACCCAACTACACAAGACAATTGATACCGAAAAATATGCTAAGCATAATAGAAATTTTACAGTAGTCATCCTTAAAATGACTACCACTATACTTTATTTTCATTGGCTGATTATTGATTTTTTTTTGTTGGTCAAACTTATAAAAATAATTTGTTGGTCAAACTTATAAAAATAATTTTTCTTTTTTAAAAAATTCATTTTTTTCCCGAATTAATTTTCTTAATTTTCAACAAAAAAAAAAAAAAAATTTAAATGAGCTTCAAAAAAAGATGAATCTTTAAAAGAGACAAATTATTTTAATAAGTTTAACCAACAAAAAATAAATTAAAAAAACAGCCAATAAAAATTAAGTATAGTGGTAGCCATATTAAGATGAATACTATAGAAACATTCTAAGCATAAACACTAGATTTAAAAGATTAGGAGTATTTGGCTATTTGCAAGGGAGTTCGGGAATATTATATATATATATATATATATATATATATATATATATATATTATATATATATATATATATATATATTTACGGATTTTTCACTAAATACCCCTGAGTAATTTTTTTATTCACCATTGATGATTAGGTGAGAATTAGGTCGTTGTCTAACCTCCTAATATCAAACAATATTTATAAATTCCTTACTAACCACTAAGCAAGCATAGAAGCAAGTCCGGAGTTGAACCACAACGACTAAGTGTATCAATTTGAGCTAATTAAACTAGTAGGAAGGTTGTGAGGTAGAGAGAGGACCAACTAAAACTACTTTAAGCAATCAACAAATACTAGGGAAAGTGGGATCCAATTACATTAATGAATTCAACAACAAATTGCAATTAGAAGATCATGATCTCAATTAGGAACAATCAATACATTTAACTCAC